TAACTTTCTATAGGTAGGTTAGAAAAATACAGAGAGAATGTGTTAAGAGTTAAAGTAATGCAAGAAGCAAAAACCAAAGAGGAAAAACCTGATGAACGATTCTGTCAACCGTTGAGACATCTGGCGAAAGCAGTTTTACTTGTAATTGCCAGCACCTGGAAGTCACAGAGATGCGCTTCAGTAGGTGAATGGATAAGGTTCACCCAGAACATGGGCTTTTCTTCAGTAATAAGGACAAATGAGCTCTCCAGTCATGAGCAGACAGGGAAGGACCTGAAGCCATTTCCAGAAGGAGACACACTGTCTGATTCCAACATTATGACATTTTGGAAAAGGCTGAACTCTGGAGACAGAAAACAGACAATGGCGGTGGGCAGTTTGGGAGGGATAGGAGAGGAGGGGTGAGCAGGCGGAGCTTGGGGAGAGTTTTAGGGCTTTGTAGCTCTCTTGTATGACCCGGAATGGTGGACACTTGTCACCAGAGAGTTGTCAACCTCATGAATGTACAGCACCAACCAGGAGTTGTGTGACACACTGGATTTCACTGAGTGCCAGCGCATGGACTTTAGCTTCTCCATGGGATCAAGCATCCAACTTGAGGGCAGACAGAGAGAATGACTCAAGGGCTGAGGAGGGCCAGGGCTGAGAGCTCTGAACTTGTCTCCCAAACTTCTCCAAAAAAATAGAGTTTATCACTAAAAAAGATAGATGATGGGGCTGGAGAGATGGTCCAGCGGTTAAGAACAGTGACTGTTCTTGCAGAAGACCCGGGTTCGAATCCCAGCACCCACATGGCAGCTAACAACTGTCCATAACTCCAGTTCCAGGGGATCCGACAGCCTCTTCTGTCTTCCGAGGGCATTGCATGACACGGGTGCCCTTACCTACATGCAGGCAGTACACGCATACACATAAAATAAAGATAACAAATAAAATATTTTTTTAAAAAGATAGATGAGTTGTGCAGGGGAGAAGACAAGGGGTTAGCTCTGTGCCATCCATACACCACAAGATCAGTAGCCTGAATGTATAAAGAATCCCTACCAAATGATAGGGTGTGTGTGTGTGTGTGTGTGTGTGTGTGTGTGTGTGTGTGTATCCAGCAGCTGATGGCCTGTGTCTTCCTCCATTACCCTCTACCTTTGTTTTTTGAGGCAGGGTCTCTCACTGAACCTGAGCTCACTGAATTGACTAGGCTGGCTGTCCACCTCCCCAGTGTGAAGTCACAGAAGCAGGTCATGATCAGCTTTAAACATGGGTTCTGCAATCTGAACTCAGGAGTTCACAGAAGGCCTTTAATCCACTGAGGCATCTCCCTAGCTCCTTAGGGAAACAGATTTTTTAAATGCTGTGGCTAGAGAGATGGCTCCGTGAGCAAGACAACTTGGCGTGGAAGCATGAGGACCTGAATTCAAATTCATAGAGCCCACGTCCAAAGCTGGGCATCATGGTGGTGTGCACACCTGTGTTCCCAACACTGCGGGGGCCAGACACAGAAGGATCCCCAGGGCTTGCTGGCCACAGCCCAGCTGTAAGTTCAGTGACAATCTACAGCTCAAAAGGAATCAGGTGTTGAGTGACAGAGTAGGACACTGACGTCCTCCTGTGTCTTCCATGAGCCTGTGCCAGGCGTGCACAGCTGCACACATGTGCACACATACATCACCCTCCTCTGACACAGAGGAAATTGAGAAAGGTTACAGGAGGCACATTCAAAGGAGAGGGAACAAAAACAGTTAATAAATGTGAAAAACATCAGCGCAGTGGCACTAAGGGAAACATTGGACAGTGCTGTGGCAGCTCGCACTGGGGGGTGGTTAAATTTTTACCACTCCACAGCATGTATGTTGGTAAGGCCTAGGATGAGAAACGTAAGGAGCTCCTGATGGGACCTCAGCCTGTGTCCTTGGCCAGAGACAGACAACAGCCTGAAGTCCTCTGTCTCTGTGGGCTGGGGTCACGTTTGGAGTGTGCACACAGAGCTGGACCAGGGTCCAGCTCAGGGGGCCACCGTGTGCTGCCCTGCTCTTGGGGACTTGGAAGTGTGGGAGTGCTTACACAGTGGGAACTGGCAAATGCAATACATTAGGGTTTTTCCTCCTTTCCTTTTGGTTTCTTTTTAGAGCTGTCTCATATTCCCACCACACACTAAAGCATGGGGTGTCCTTGCCCCTCCCTGGGCTGGGTCCTGGGCTCAGAGCACCATTTCCCCTTTGCTTCCATTTGTCCCTATCGCCACTCCTCCGAATTCCTATTTCCTTGTCTGGGAACAGGGCAAAGGGTGCCGGAAGCAGTGGAGGGTTGGGGACAGAGACAGCTGCAGCACAGGCCCATGGGAGATCCGGTGATGAGTGTTTGGGGAACTGGAAGGTCGCTCAGCTAGTGGAGTGCCTGCTGCACAAACAGGAGGACCTGGGCTTGGATCACTAGCATCCATATAAAAAGTGTGATGGTGCACACCTGTAATCCCACCGCAGGGCAGATCCCTAAGGTTTGTGTGAAAGCAGTCCAGCCAATTGGTCAGCTCCAGGTTCAATGAGGGACCCCTGTCTCAAAAAGCAAGATGGAGAGCAATAGAGGAAAATGCTTATGCAACCTCTGGATGCTTATGCACGTGGGCATTCACACACATACGAATGCGTATGCATGCATACAACACACACCAAAAAGGTTTTAAAAAACTGTATATGGAAGCTGAGTCTGGTGGTACATGCCTGTAATTCCAGCATTTGGGAGACTGAGGTTACTTTTAGATATTTATTTATTCTATTTTTTATTTTAGAGACGGTCTCCCATAACCCCAGCTGGCCTGAACTCACTATGTAGACTAGGATGGCCTTGATCTCCCAGAGATCTGCCTGCCTCTGCTTCCAGCATGCTGGGATTGAAGGCATGCACCACTATGCCTGGCTATTTTTATTTGTATGTATGAATGTTTTGCTTGCATGTAAGTGCAACCGTGTGTGCAATACCTATGGAAGCCAGAAGAAGGCATTGGATCACTTGGAACTGGAGTTACACATGGTTGTTAGCCACCATGTGGATGCCAGGAATCGAAACTGGGTCCTCTGCAGGAGCAGCCAGTGCCAGTCCCAAGGCCAGTGGTTCCTAATTCAAGGCCACCCTGATCTATATAGTGAATATGAGGCTAACCTGGGCTCCACAGCAGAGTCTGTCTCAGAGTATCTGGCTCTGTGCCCCAGCTGTGGCTGAGCCATTCACTCCCTGCAAGACCTTGGACTGACCTCACCAAGTTTCCATTTTCTTATCTGCGAATCAGGAATGATCCCTTGCAGCCTCCATATACCAGCCTGCATGTGTGGCTCTGCTTCCAGTTCAGCAGTGTGCACACAGATATGACAGGAATGGTTCATCTCAGCCATGTGCACTGCGCAACCTGAACTGCAGCGCATGGTCCTGAGCACCATATTTATTTCAGAGCATTGTAACGAATAGTAAAAGAGTCGGTCCAGCTGGCACACAGTAGGTGCACAAGCATTATTGGTTTCCTTTCTTTTTCTTGTCATCTATCCCCTCCTTCCTTATCAGGATTGTATCACTCCATAAGGCTGAGTCTATGTCACAGCGTGACACTCACATATGATGGTCCACACACACTACCCTGGAGACGTACCTCTGGTTTGTAATAATCCTGGTGGCTATAGTCATTGGTGACTGCTCAACACTAGACCCTAAGGCTGCCAACATTGGTCCCCCACAGCTGCCATGACCCCCATCCTTGGGGTGATGGGAAGATCTGAGGATCAGAGAGTTAAAATAATTAGCTCAGAGCCACGCAGGAAAGGGGTGGGGGGAAAAAGTTCACACCAGATTAAAGCTTTCCAACAAAGATGTGCTCCTGAGCCACGGAGAAACCATCTCATCAGTTCTGCACACACAGAGACACCCCTAAACACATGCACACACACGCACAGACCTGTGCACACACACACACGCACACATGCACACACATACACATGCACATATAGGCAAGCACACACACATGAACACACATATACACACACATACACACACGTGCACAGAACTGAAAAGGTCACAAAATATTTACTCCTGCTGCGTGTGAAGGTGTCGAATATTCTCATTCTGTCTGTATGACTCTTGTGTCACTGTGACTACAGTACCTGGCAGAAACAAGGGAGGAAGGATTTCAGTCTATCCCGGGGACGAAGGCAGAGAGGAGCCACTCAGTTCACAGCGGCTGGAGAGTATGGCAGAGGCTGTTCACATCCTGGTTGACCAAGAAGCAGAGAGGAGGGGGGAGGGGGAAGTGGGGGCAGGGATAATATACCTGCAAGGGCCTGCCCCCATGACCTGCTTCCTTCAACTAGACCCCAAGGTTCCACAGCCTCCCCAAAGGCACCCCCAGCTGGGGAACATTGTTCAAACCCTGAGCTAGCAGAGGCCATTTTCCATTCAAGCCACAGCACTCTATCCCATTCTCTTTTAAAGCACTGGCTATATTAAAAATCTGTGAAGGTGATTTCATGAACCTCTGTAATGAGCTTTGGAAATTACTCTCAAGGCTGCTTCTGCCTAAGGGGCTTCTAACAGGTATCAGCAAACATTGGTGCAGGCTAAATATGGCCCACTGTCTGCTTTGCAAATAAAGTTTTATTAGGACACAGCCAGCTCCCTCAGCTCTTTGACTAGCATATTCCCTCCAGCCACTGGCCAAGTTAAGGAGTATCAACAGAGACTACATGGGCCCCAGACCCTAAAATATTTACTTATTTGGTCCTTTTAGCAAAAGGTTTCTAATCTATATCTTTTTTTTTCTTGGATTACACTTCCCCAGAGCTGCCTTTCACCCTGGGGACCACCAGCTGCCTGCCATGCTCCACTCCCAGTGTCCGCCTGCCCTGGGCTCCACACTCTTTCCCAGTACTAACAGGCTGGCCTGGCAGGTGGCTGAGGGGACCTAGTGGTGGGAATGAATTCCCTCCCTGGTCCCTCACACCTACTCTGCTCTCTCCCCTCAGGCCTCTTGGGAATGGTTGCCCACATGATGTACACACAGGTGTTCCAGGTGACCGTGAGCCTCGGCCCTGAAGACTGGAGACCTCATTCCTGGGACTACGGGTGGTCCTTCTGGTAAGTGGATTTGGAACTTTTTAGGTACCAGGGCCCAAGGTATGGTGGGTCTTCAAAGTTCAACTCAAATGCATGGGGTTGGGGGCTAGGCATGCCAAGGAAGTGGGGTTTGAGACTCCAGAGCAGGGCTGGGTGAAGTCCAGCTCACCACCTGCTTGCTTGCAGTGCTAGGGGCAGAACCCAGGGCCTTGTGCATGCTAGGCAAGTACCCCACCATCCAGCCACATTCCCATCCTTGGCACAAGTTCAGAGTGGCTCTCACGTTTTTAAATGCTTGAACAACTATTAGAAGATGAATTGTGTTTGGTAAAGTTGATGGGAAACTCAGTTTCCAGTGTCCTTCAGTAGTTTTCTTAGAGCACAGCCTCACCTACTATCAGTGTGATAATGGCAGCTCTTAGCAAGAGCTAGAGAGACAGGATGGCCCCAAGTCCATACCATTGACTCTAGGGCCCTGGACCAACCTTGATGTAGAGGCTAGCTCTAGCAAGTGGCCATAGCAGTTTCCAAGGGGCCCAATGAGGTAGAAGCATCCTTGGCTGGAACCCTCAGATTGCAGGAAATGTGCGAATCAATAGCTTGGGGCAGGTGATTATGGTAGAGGAGCTGTTAGGACACTTTTGCTCCTGACTGGCAGAATCACACACTGACAGGAATAAGGGAGCTTCCTAGATGTCACTGAAAAGCTGACGGGGACCAGTCGGGGCTCTGAGTTGTGACAAAGGCTCCTGCCCCATCAGTGTAAGGGTGGTGAGCAAGCTCCTCCACAGGTCGGTGCCCCTCCTTTTGTTGGAGACTTGGCTTCTGTCTCCAGCACCAGATGAGGTCCCAGGCTTCCCTCTGATGGGCACAAGTCCTTTGTCTTCTCCTGAACTGTCAGAACAACAGGGAAATGTCATGAGCCTGGTGGCTCAGCTCAAACAGGCCTGCCTCCAGAGCCAGGAACAAGCCATAGATTCTCCACAGTGGAACAGAGGGATGGATTCCTTCCCTGGTCCCTGACATCTGCTCTGCTCTCACCCCTCAGGCCTGGTGGAACAGATGCTGTGGGAACCACAGCAATGTCAACTTCAGACACAGCTGGATCCAGGAGGCCAGGCAATTTTATCAGGGCCCAATCATTCTCTCTCCCCTTCCCTGCCTCAGTTTCCCTTGTGATGGCTTTATTCTCAAGCTTTTTTCCACGTGGTAGTTAAAGCTGGTCACCAGACACATCTCTAAGCTAGTGCCTTACAACGGGAACTATAGCCAGCAGAAAAGGGAGGGGGAGTCCCTTTCAACCTTTCCAGAAAAGTCCTTGCTGGGACTTTCATTCGCTTAACATAAGTCACAAGACATCCCCGAGCCAATGGTTTAAACTACAGGGAGATGGGAAAGATCTGAGTCACATGGCCCAGAGGGCCATTCCTTCCACAGGAAGCAGAACAGAGGTCACCAGGCAGTGGTGGTGGAGTGAGCTGGTACCAGATGAGAATATTCGACCACAGTGTCTGCTGCCTAGACTGTCCAGGTCTTGTCCTGGTGGCTGGGGACACTGCCCGTTTGGTCCCCCAGCACGCTTTCTGAGCACTGTGCTCCAGGTAGCTCTTCCTCAGGGTGCTGAAGATGCGGTGATGGCTGAGATTCCCCACAGTGCTCTGGGTAGGTCCTTCAGGGAGGCCCAGGGGACTAAAGAAACCCGCCCAAGGAATAGCAGCCCTAGGCCCGGAGGTCTGGTCCTCAGTCCAGCTAAGTGATTAGTGTGCTGGCATGGTGTTTCACTTCACAGACATGGTTCTTCTTACACCACCAGGGGACTTAATACGCACAGTGACCTTGTGTAGCACGTGTGGAATAAGGCTCAGAAAGGGTAGAATGCTTGCCCTGGGTCACACAGCTTCATGTGTAAACTCGGATTGATCTCGCTCTCAGTCTCTCTGTATATCTTTCTATCTCTCTCTGTCTCTCTCTCTGTCTCTGTCTCTCTCTCTCTCTCTCACGCACGCACGCCTCTCACCTCTCAGCAGCCTCTGGCTCAGCACTGCAGCACTTGGTTCTGTAGCTGAGTCTGCTGGTCTTTCCTCGGCCTCCAAATTGGCTCCTTTGCCCACTCTGCCTCCCGCACACCACGAGATCCCCACAGGACGTATTACGGTCTCCCACCATGAGGCCCCGATTAGGGCTGATGCATGCCTCCCTGTCACTGTGGCCCGCAGGACAGATAGCCCCATTTTTCATTCCTTGTCTGTGGGGCCTCACCAGGGCTGCGAGATGCCATCTCTCTTGCTTAATGCATGTGAGACCATTTGTTAGAATTCTGGCCCAAGCTTCCCTGGCTGCCCAAGGCACAGTGGAGAAGACCAATTCTGAGGGAAGCCCCAACCTCCAGCTTCAGGCCCAACAGGAAGAACAGGGATGAGGGACCCTAAGGGCTCTGAGCACTCATGGTTGATGTGTTCCCAAGTCAAAGGTCCCTGTGGTTTGGTGTGTGGTACTCCAGGTTCAAGTTTCACTCTGACCTATCCAGCTGGGGCCTGTGGCAGTGTCAAGAGTGATAAAGGGTGAGGCCTCAGGATGAAGTCTGGTTTGGAGCTGACCCTGACCCCTGCCAGCTGTGACTACTGACAAGTCCCTTACCCTCTGTGTTTCAGAGTTCTCAGCCCTAAAATAGGGGCTGCCACTTCCACCTCACACGGCTCTCCAGTGGCACCCATTCTCTGTTGGTGGGTAACACGCCACCCCAACATCTACCCCTTCAAGGAAAACTGTATCACTTCATATGGCTTGGCCAAGTGCCTGGGCTCACCAGGTGGACATAGTATGGGGACCTTTGTAAAAATCTGGTCCATATCACCTGGGGCACGTCTAAGGTGACCTCAGAGATGGCTCAGCATGATGCTGGAGTTGGAACTGGCGAGTGGTGATTGGTGATTAGAGTGGCTTATTGTGCATGGTGGCTGGTCCTAGGGGACAGTGTCCCATGTCCAAGCAAGCATGTCAAGATGCCCAAGTGGAAGCTTCAGGGCTGGTCTGTGTCACTCTGGGCAGGTGTAGGAGCTGTGGCCCTTAATGGCAGCTCCCACAGACAGGTGAGGTTGCACACTGGGGGCGTGGCATATAGTACATGCTCCACTCCCTGAATGTCCCCCGGGACAGGGTAGTCCACAGGCTTGGTGGGCTTGTTGGCAGAGTATGCCAGGCTGACTCTCCCATGCAAAGCAGATGTCCCATGAACGACAGTGATCTTGAAGACTATCTCAGCCACCAGCACTAGCTCAATGCCATGTGACCCAGATGTCCAACTGGGGGAGTGCTCCAGGGTGGAACAAGCCAGGGCAAGGCCATGGTGGGTACCAGGCTGGGTGTAAGGACTAGGTGGAGTAAGACTTGGGGTAGGCCAACAGGTCCAAACTAGACATGGTATGTGGCTTCCTCAACCTGCCATCACCCCTAAGGAGGACTCAGGAGTCACTGACCCCCACTTCCAGGATCAGAAAACCAGCAAGAGGTTGGGATGTGTGGCCCAGAGCCCCAAGGTTAGCTCAGAGGCTGCTGGCTACCCACACCCTGGCTGAGTCAGCCTGTAGAGGGTCTGCTGGGCCTGAACCTGTACTGGCTCTATTTTCTAACATCTAAAGAGCTCAGGTTTGCTGTAACAATGCAGGTTTCTAGCTTGTGGCCTGTTGGAAGACCTGTCTGGCCTGTGTCTAACCAGTCTTCCAGTCCACAGTACAGCTTAGGCAGGGCGAACAGCAACTGCACCTCTGCCCTCCAGCCTGTCCTGGTCCCTACTATCTCCTATTGCTTCCCCACCTGCCTGACCCTGCCAGGAGGGTCAACAGAGGATGCAGACATAGTCCTGGATATAAAAATTTTTTGCTATTTTGCTCTTGATCAAAATACAGGGGGGTGGGGGGGCCCTCCTGCCCTTCTGCCCCCCATCACACATACTGAACCCCATCCCAAGCAGACTGAGGGGACAGCATGGAGCTGTAGACCAGAAACTAGAACAGCCAGAGCACACCTGTGATCCTAGCACTTGGGAAGTGATGCCAGGAGGTTTGTGAGTTTGATGGCAACTTGGGCTACATATGAGACCCTGTCTCAAACAAAAGCCTAGAAGGCCCAGAGAGGTTAAATAGTTTGGCCCGGGCCATACAGGAGCAGAGTTGGGTTCCTGGAGGTTCTGTCTCTTGTCCTGGTCTCTCCACACCTATTGACGGTCTCCATGAGATGGAGGCCTCACTGCTGCCATCCCTTCTATTCCCATCTCCCTGACCCTATAGAAGCAGTAAGTGGTCTGTCTCCTTGCTGAGGACTCTGGCTACCCATTTTGGCAGGCTGGTTCCACAGCAGTGCCTCTGACACTGTACCCTGGGAGTGCCTGGGATCCCATGTACACTGAGGTGTGGCTGGGCTGGCCGAAGGTTCCTGTATGGTCAGCAGGAACCTTCTGTACATCTTTCCCAGGGCAGAAGCTCTGGCCTTCTTTTCTCCAAGATCAGGGCTGTGGCTGCCCACCTGGGCCCCCAGAGCTTGCCATCACCCAGCTCCTAGTGCTCCTGGACTCTGAGGGTGGTCTGGGGTGGACATTTGTGCCCCATCCCTAACAGTGAACCTGTGCCCTCCATCTGCAAGTGACTGTGGGTGGTTCCCTAGTGATCAGTCAGTCTCCCCGAGGTCCAGGCCCTTAGGTATGTTGATAGGTGGCACCCTGTGCCTCCAGCACGTCTCTGTCCTGCCTCTGCAGTGCCACCCCCTCTCCTGTCACCACCTCTCCTCTTGTCCCTAAGTGCCCACTCTTGCGAAAACCAGGCCAGCCGCCCCCATGCTTCCCAGCACCAGCTCAGCACTATGTGCTGCAAACGCCTGCAGGTGCTCCAGCCCCAGCTTCAAGTTCTGCCCTGTGTAGGCGCCTGGAGGGTCTGGGGGAGAGGGACAGGGAGGAAGTATTCATGAGTATAGCCTGAGCCCCTGACCAGGACCAATTCTGGGACAGTGTGTTCATCTGTTTTTAATTA